AAACAATTTAAGGAATGTCTTGAATGTATTCCTGTTTCCGCCAGGGTCTCACAGCTTCCCCCAGCCTGTGGCTACAGTCCTAACTTTATATGATGATTCCTGTCTTAGAGACTAAGGTGAACAGAGAAGATAAGGCACTTCTATTTAAACTAGAAGGGATGGGATTAATTTCTACCAATATCAGAGCCAACCACACTTCCCACAGATCTCAATGGGTCTGCTCAGATCTATCTTTGGATCCTCTGATGGTAATTACACCAGATTTAATATCAAACAGACTGCAAGCGCCTTGTAGGAACGGCAAGCACCCAAGGGGCTTTTTTGATCTTTCACCACCATACCACCCCTGCCAACAAAAGCCAAGTACAGATGTATTCCATGGGATGTTGGAAATAGTATCTACAAAACAGGAAAAGAAATAGTGGCTGATGAGACATCTGGGGAGAGCTCAGGTCCCCACCACCGCTGACAACAGGTACAAAATGTATAAAACAGTATTTTTCTTGGCCTCTCTGACAGTGATAATTTTGAATTTTAAAAAAATCACACATGGGAAAACATTTCTCAGAATTAGCCTTTTCTGTTGTATATATTTGCTTATACAATTGCCCTTCTCAGCTACATAAATGTTTTAGTTGACACCTTGCAAATATTGTCAAGGACAAAGATGGCAGCAGTGATTATTTTGGACCTCACGCACATGCCAATTAGTCCAGGATTGAGTTTTGACAGGATTAATACCCTTGGAGCAGTGACGACATGGTGACCCCATTTGGGGTTGCCAGCTCTGGATTGGGGAATACCTGGAGATTTTGCAAGTGGATCCATGGGGGGGGGGAGGGAGAAAGGTTTGAGAAAGGAACCTCAGCATGGTTCAATGCCACAGAGTCCACCTCCCAGGCAACCATTTTTGCTCACAAGACTCCACAACTTAGAGGGAGCATTGCTTCTAACTGGGTAGGCTTCAACAGATTTACAAATGTGTAACTCTGCTTAGGATGGCATCGTAAAATGTTTAACTTTCTCCTATGGAAAACCAATACATTTGCAATCAGCAACCACAAAGACAAATGAAAATATGCTTTTAAGACATGATCCAACGCCAAATGAAGTGCATGTAAAACCCACCAAAATCACTGGGTTTAAGCATAGATTCAGGTGGGTAGCCATGCTGGTCTGAAGCAAAGTTTGACTCCAGTGGCACCTTTAAGACCAACAAAGTTTAATTCTGGGTATAAGCTTTTGTATGTATGCAAACTACATTGAAACAGACTCCACCTACCATTATAAATAGGTAGAGAAAAGTAGAGAATTTTTAGGTAGAGAATAGGTAGAGAATTTTTTTTGATACCTTGACTCTAATTAGCCCTTTCTAGGCTTGCCAAGTCCCCCCGGGGGGCGGGTAAACCCCCGCCACAGAGGCCCGTTAACCGACGCCAGCAAATCGGGCCCCGGGGGGAACTCCACCCCATTCCGGCACACATCCTCAGCATGATGATGTCACCCAGAGGTGACATCATCACGCTGGCCATGTTGGGGGCGAGACACTCTATGATTTGAGGGAAAACTCTATGGTTTTCCCTCGAATCCTAGTGGTCCCACCCCCAATGTGCCAACGCGATGACATTACTTCCGGGTGGCACAGACTCCCGGGACGGTGCGGGACTCCCCTGGAGTAAGTGAATTTGGACTTGGCAATCCTAGCCCTTTCCCTACCCAATTAGCCCTTCCCGTACCTATATGTAATGGTTAGTGAAGTCTGTTTCAATGTATCTGGAGAAGTGTGCATGCACACAAAAGCTTATACCCAGAATTGTTGTTGGTCTTAAAGGTGCAACTGGACTCAAACTTTGTTCTGGGTTTAAGCATGTTTACAATCTGTTGTAATTTATAACATGCATTGAACTCTGAACTAGATTATGGCTAACATGTGCATTAGTCTAGGTCTGGCCATCACCATGAAGAATATTATATATCCAAATGTACAGTGGCCTCATGTTATCTTTCCACTGCATACCAGTGCTGTACCAGTTCCTTGATTGCAGTATAGATGAAAGTTTACTAATTAATTTCTGTATCAACCTTATTTGGTGAGTAAGGGCTGGTATTATTATAGTATTGTTAACCCTGTACCTTTTACAGTTTCTGAAAAGAGATATGACGCTATATACAGATCAAAGGGTTTGACTACATAAAGTGTTTTCCAAAAGAAGATACTTCAGAAGGAATGCAGTAGATTATTCAGTCCAGCTTTGTGTCATAAGCAGGATATCCTCTCCCACCATACCTAACAATTTTTGACCTTGGGTCTAACCTCGAATTTTAAACCTTTGTACAAGCAGGACTCTGCATAGTCTCCTTTGGCAGAATATTCCATTGCTGAATGTTTGGGATTACTGTATTAGTATGCTGGAAGGGAAATCAAGTATCTTTGCAATTAGAAACATATGCCAAACTAATTGCTTTTGTGGATGCTTTGTGGGTAAAAGAAGGAAGTGAGGAGCTTTTGTCTTCAGATGTGATAAATAAATGCCACACATCTGGAAGTATAACCAGTTCCAAAGCAGAAACCCCAGTTAAAAAGGGAAGAAGGAAAAGAGTAAAACACATATCACATATTGAATCCAACTGGTCTTATAAGGAGCTTAGGGTGGAATGGATGGTGCTATCCTCATAACACCCCTGCAAGATGGACAAATGCATACCAGCTGGAAAAAGGAAGTCATTTCATAAGATATCCTTTCCTCCCATATAGCAAGAATGTTAATGCTGAACTCTTAAAAATCCATTTTCTCCACCATCTGGAATGGCCTTTAATGCAGATCATCTTTCTCACACAGTCCTTGAGCCTTTTCTTCTCTACCTAGTAAATATTCCTTAGATAGATTTTTGTACTGATTAGAAGCAAAAGGAGTAACAGACAGGAAAGGCTTAGCCATCAGCTGGGTTCTGTTCAACACAAAAACTCTGGATGGTTTCTGTATCAGACTAAATACAAACAGTTGATAATAGTAAAATGGAGGGGAGTTTCCACCTAGACAAAGATAGCCACCAACAAGTAGCAGATGGAATGTGGCAATTCAAATTTATGCCTAGATCAGGGGTCATTTGCTGCCGGAGCGCCTGGGAGTGATGCTCCGGCAGTAAAGAGCCCAGACCCCACCCCCCGCCTTTCCTGGCCACCGGCAGAGAGATGGCTTCCCTGCCTGATATTCTCCAGGTGCCGGGGCACCTGAAGAACATTGGGCAGGAAAGCCAGGCATGTCTGCCTCCCTGCCCTCCCGCGCTCCAGCCAGCCCGCCACGGAGAGTGGGAGGGAAGGCGGGCAGAAATGGCCCCTTCGCCTTGAGCCTCTCCGCAATAGCGGAGAGACTGGGGGGATTTAAATCCCTGGCTTCCCTGTCCTCCCGTGCTCCAGCCAGCCGACCATGGCAAGAGTGGGAGGGGAGGCGGGCAGAAATGACCCCTTCCCCCTGAGCCTTTCTGCAAAATCGGAGAGACTGGGGGGGATTTAAATCCCTGGTTTCCCTTTCCGATGTTTTCCGGGTGCCCCATGGGGCACCTGGAGAACATTGGGCAGGGAAGGCAGGCATGTCTACCTCCCTACCCTCCTACACTCCAGCCATAATTGGAGGCTGGAGAGTGGGAGGGGAGGCGGGCAGAAATGCCCCCCCAGTGGCACCTGAAGCAACAGTTGCTTCAGTAGGAACTTTCCTGAGGCAGGGCTCAGAGTGGAGTCACGGGTCACAGGCAATGTTCCCTCTAAGCTGAGTTGGTGTGAGTTCGCTCACAGTTTTTTAGCCTCCGGCTCACACATTTTTGTCTTTGCTCAGGAAGGACGGCTCCAGAGCAAACTACTTTATGCAGTAGCCGAATCGCTTGCTCACCACTTTAACGCCAGTAGCTCACAAAGTAGGATTTTGGCTCACAGGACTCCACAGCTTAGAGGGAGCACTGGTCACAGGGCGCTGTTTCTTCTAACCAAGGAACCTCCGATTCTCCCACAGTGAGCTTTGGGCTGGCGTTCCCGTCAGCCACCACCGCCACCCAGGCAAAAGGAAGGGAAAGGCCTGTGCAAGGCCGGTCCCTGATCGGCTAGGCTGGGTTGGCGCTGCTCGTGGGGCTCCACCTCCGGAGGGGACGGGTGATGATAGAGGCACTCGGAAGGGTCCTGCTGCTGTCTTATCCACCACCCGCAAAAGAACGGTTCTCTATCCCCCAACAAGGACTGAGGCTATAGCAGTGTCTACCCCGGCTGGCCTCGCCTCTTGCCCTGGACCTGGATAAGTGATGTCCACTCGTCACTACCATTGTCGGGGTTTTTTTCCCTTTACTAAGTTATTATTGTCACTCTCAGGGGTCATTTTCTGCAGGAGCGCAGAGGAGCGCAGAGGAGCGGAGCTCTGGTAGTAAGGAGCTCAGGGGGCGGGCACATGCAACAAGCACCACCCCCTGCTCCCAGCAGCCTTTAGTCGGGCCACGAGGAGCAAGAAGCAGCCAGGTAAGTTGCAGTGCCCCCCCGACCCGCCTTCAGGTACAAGCTCTACTGCGTTCAGTTGGGTAAATCTTTCCTTTTCGCCTTTGCCTTTCGCTTTCCTTCTTTCCTCTGCTATTTGTAAAGCCTCATCAGAAAGCCACTTTGCTTTCTTACATTTCTTTTTCTTTGGGATGGTGGTGATTGCTGCCTCCTGTACGATGTCACGAACCTCTGTCCATAGTTCTTCAGGCACTCTATCTATCAAATCCAGACCCTTGAATCTATTCTTCACCTCTACTGTATATTCATCAGGGATTATGCTAATGAGCTCCTGCACCTCTTTTTCTATGAAATGACCCCTCACTCTAAGCAGTCCGTCGTGTGTGCAGATGCCTCCTTTCTCTCCCCCCTTGTGCTTAGGGACATTTAGAAACTCGCCACGCAGCGGAGGAGTCGGCTGAGTCTCTTGAGCAGGGGAAGTGCAGGCGTTGTGCCGGGGTGAGTGTGTGCTCCTGCGTCCTGCGGCCCTTCACTACCCGAAGGAGTCTCAAGTGGCTTACCATCTCCTTTCCCTTCCCCAGTGGCAGGAAGTTGGGGGTGGACCTGGCAGCCCTGTGAGGAAGTGGGAAGAATGATCTCTTCTTCCTGCATGCTATAAACTCTTGAGGGTTTAGACCAATTTCCTCAAAAAACCCCAACACCCCCCCCCCAAAGATCCTCAGTTGCCCTCAACCTTCCTGGTGCATACTCAGAGACTTGGGGGGGGGGGCAGAGGTCCATCAGTGGCTATAGTCACAAGGGATAGATAGGAACTCTCGGTCTGGGGCAAGTCTTCTTGGTGCTTGGGAGGGGCAACAGTGGGAGGGCTCCTAGTGTCCTGGCCCCACTGCTGGACCTCCTGATGGCACCTGGTATTTTT